AGAGAATGAGAGAAATAAAGAGAGAGAGGCTGAATGGCAAAATTGAAATATGGGTCAAATTGCAGTCGCGGTCTATTTCATGGTTGGAATGATTTTTTTAAATATATTTTGCATTTTTTCTGGAAATATCACAACAAAATCTACGAATACTCAAATTTTTAGGTTTTTTCACGCATTCTTCTGAGGCCTCAACGCCTGGGCATGAGGACCCTTTTGCAGTTCACATGCCCTCACGTTTTTTTGGGCCCGCTTTCATTCGAGGATCAGTCCAATGCCCCCCACTTCTTTTTGGGGTTCTCTTTCACCCGATGATCGATCCTTTTTTTTTTCAAAAGTCCCGGTTCTACCAGAGTTAGTTGTAAGTAGTCCGCAATTTTGCCAAGGACCAGTTCGCCAAATATTTTTGCCCCCTAAGAACCCATTTTGCGTTTGGGTCGCCCGCCGCCGAAATACAACACCTTGACACAAACGCTGAAGTCTCTCTCTTTCTCTCTCTCTCTCTCTCTCTCTCTCTCTTTCTCTCTCTCTTTGTGGTAGTCCCCACCCCCTCCCTCTCTCTCTATATCTCTTTTTTTCTCTCTCTCCCTCTTTGTCTCTCTCTCTCACTCATATCAACAAATGAAACAAAACTCCCTCTCTCTCTCTCTCATACACACACACATACACACACATTCATAACTCTCTCTCTCTCTCTCTCTCTCTCTCTCTCACATTGGCCCACGCATGGCTGAGTTTTGTTCCATTCATTGTTAGGAGTGTGAGAAAGAGACAGAAAGTCAGGGAGAGAAAAAAAGAGAGAAAGAGGAAGAGAGAGTTTTGTTCTATTTATTGATATGAGTGCGAGAGAGAAAAAAAAAAAAACGATAGAGAGATAGAGGGGGAGGGGGGGCTACCACAGAGAATGAGAGAAAGAAAGGGAGAGAGGCTGAATAGCAAAATCGAAATATGGGTCAAATTGTTGTCGCGGTCCATTTCACGGTTGGAATGATTTTTTTTTTTTTTTTTTGCGTTTTCACAACAAAATCTACGAGTACTCAAATTTTTAGGTTTTTTCACGCATTCTTCTAAGCGGGAAAACTCACTGAATTTGAAGTATTTTTTTAGTTGGCCCACATATGGTTGAGTAACAAAAATGAAAAATGTGTCGAATCAGCGTAACAAGTATTTCGTGGTCTAAATAAGTTTTTGAAAATATTATAATATTTTTTCTGGAAAGAATACGACCTCGTCTATAAATTCTCAAAATTTCAGATTTTTCTGCGAGTTCCTCCGAGCAAAAAAAATCGTTGAAGTGGTCTTTTGCAAAACGTATGTTTCCCTGACCGCGCTTTCTTGAGAAGAAGGGCCTCAACGCCTAGGTCTGAGGACCCTTTTGCAGTTCACCTGCCCTCACGTATTTTGGGGGTCCACTTTCACCCGAGGACCAGTCCAACGCCCCCCACTTATTTTTGGGGTTCTCTTCGACCCGACGACCGATCCTTGTTTTTTTTCAAAAGTCCCGGTTCTACCAGAGATAGTTGTAGGTAGTTCGCAACTTTGTGAAGGACCGGTTCCCCAAACGTTTTTGCCCCCTAAGAGCCCACTTTGCGTTTGGGTCGCCCGCCGCCGCAATGCAACACCTTGAC